TTTCCTAACATTTCTAGTCACCTTTCCTGAAATTTTCTGGAAAATGCAATGCCCATCCTCTTTACTCCTTATAGTTCATCAACTGCGCCATGCTGTTTATGTCTTCATTCTTTACACATATGGTTCCCTTTGACCCCCAACTGTAATACTTTCCCTTCTTTTGTCAAACCTTCATTCATTTTTCCATGAGTACATCTAAGGTGACTTCCCATTGCTCTGTAGGGAGGCAAGAGATTCTCACATAATTCTTTTACGGTATTTATCATAGATTTTGTAATGGACTTTTATTTGCCTTTCTCACTCCAGTGAAAAGGATGGAATCTTTGATTGAAAGTATTTTTATGTATCTTATTTCTCTGGTACCTAGGGCCTGGCACAGAGAAATGTACCCAATAAATAAAATTAAAACTCATGAACTATTTCTATTCATAATAGAGTTATACAAAATAATATACTTGTGTAGTGTCTTCCTGTGTGTTCTGCAATGTTTACAGCTATTCTGTCTAGAAATTTACTGACACGGGAGACAGCTGCATGTATTAACGCTTCCCAAATTTCTAAGCAATCATTCCCATGTATTTTTTTTTCGTGACAGAAAAAACACCCCTTCCTTCTGAAGCACATGCATCATGTTGAAGGCTCGCAATCAATTAAATATTAATCAGATGTCAAAGCCTAAGGGTTGTGAGGCTCTTTTGAACTGGCCAAATGACTTGGTTGTGCTGAATTTATTCTTTGCCAGCTTTTTTTTTGAGAGTGCCAGACTCAACAACTACAGTGAACAAAATCAAAGGACTGCCCCAGGGCCAATTGCTTTGTCATTGTTCATTTCATCAAGACAAACGTTTGACACAAGCCAATGACTGCAACAAATGTATGCTTTTATTTTCAAGAGCAATGTGTCAACTCTGTGAGCAGATACTACAAATGTTTTCCAAACTTTTTTAAAAAAGCTCTTCATTAGAAAAATGAAGGTGGTAAAATGTATCATTAAACTGGCAAATAATGGTAGTTTTAGAGCTCTAACGTAATCAGTCATCAAGTTCTCTGATTCTTTTATAAAGGAGGAAGCTGCAACTCAAATGCTTCCTGATGTCACCTTATGTTTAATTCAGAAAGAGTTGTCCACTAATCTCCAATTCTTATATTTCCAACCTATTATTGCTTCTGAAATCTTGGATAATGCATTTGAGTCTTTATCATTAATTAATTTTACCCTTTAGAAATCAAAGTGAGTTTCCTCTTCCCCTTAAGATGCAGACAGCTTCAAGACAACAGCACATCTTCCTGCCTGTAAATCTTAAGTTTTCTTGAGTTTATCAGAGGGGTAAGATTGAAAGGCAATCAACTGAAGTAAATCCCAGGAACAGACAAGTTCCTCTGAGTGAGGCAGGAGTATAGGGTTAAAGTTTAAGTTGGTGATTGTTGAAAGAAAAAGGCTACATGCTCTATGCTTGAGATAAATGGCAGGAGGATCTTCCTCAAACACAGCTATCATATAAGACAAACAAGAAAGCATAAAATGATGGGTGCAGGCAGATCTGATAATAATCAAGACCCTCATTTAAGTGCATTTATGTGCTAAAAGATATGCTGAGGATGGGGAAGAAAAACACAATGCTAGGTGCAGTTTGAACCACCTGCAAATATTTTTGGCCTGGTGCAAAATGGCACAGGTGCAGTAAAAACATTGTGCAGTAACTTATGAATATGTTAATTTCTAGCCCAGAATAAAACCTCTATATGCTGTTAATCCTTTGACTTCCTGGTTAATGCCTATGGGGTAGCCACCTTGCTATATATGAATCAATGCAGTTAATAATTTTTCCTAAGGCTCTCTGCTAGTCATACTTGATTTCTATCCTGTGTGTGGCAAAGGGACCCACTGAACCAATGACATGAGGAGAAAAGAGGCATACTGTATCACCTTTGGCAAAGCATAGCAAAAAGAAGACTGCTATTAAAGCAGGTAAGAAGAAAACAGCTAAGATATTGATGAATTCACAAAGGCCGAGTATAGTCTAAATGCCAGCTTAGAACTACTCTGTACACTATGGAAGTTACTAGCCACATATGACTATTTAAATTTAATTTGAAATGAATTCAACTTAAAAATGACTTTTAACTATATTGAACAACACAGATATTGAACATTTCCATCATTTGAAAGTTCTACGACAGTGCTGGTTTAGAATAATTGGGAGCCCCAGACACAAATGGGAGTCTGTGCTCTCTCTCTCTAGCTTTTTTCCTGGGCCACCATCAGGCTTTCAGGAGAGATATTAGGGGCAGGACAGGGGAAGGACTCCTTCATAGGGGCACAGACACACAGAGACTCAGAGACCAGAGATAAAAATTACTTCTCTGGGCTCTTCTTCAACACAAAGCAGAGTACTTAAGGCATTCAGCAAGGGGAGAAAAAAATTTCCCTCGAAGTTCTCAGGAAAAGATATCCCATTCTAAGAGTGGAGGAGAAGCAAAAGATGCATGGTTCTGCAAGAGGTGCAGGATCCTGAGCTGATACAGAGATACTTCTCTGCTAACACTAGAGAAGAGGCAGGAAACTCTGACCCACATATTTAAGGTAGAATTTGGTTATTAATGCCTCACTTAAGACCACAAGTTCTGCCTGATCCGTCAGTTGAGCCAAGACAACCAGAACCTCCCTTAATCCCACCAAAAACTAAGTACCAAGTAAAAATCAATGCAGCCCATTGCCAGGGAGTCCTTCTGAGGTGCAGGTGTTCTGGGTTTGCTGAACACTGAGCATAGGACTGGTTTCCTGAGCAATGCTCTATACTACTTCTGGCACTCCTGAAATCTATCCAATACCATAAATTCAGCTCAACCACTGACTAGATTAATTCACAACAAATTCAAGCATATAAATAATAACATTATATACAAATCAACTCAACCTTCACTATATATACAAAAGGGGTAAACCTTTACTATCTAAACTGTCACTAGTCATATGTGGCTAATGAGTACTTAACAAGGCTAGTGGAGATAATAAATTGAATTTAAAATTTTATTTAATTTTATGTTTAAAAATCACATGTAAATTTTATATTGATTGTATACTGAAATAATATTTTGAATGCAATGGGTTAAATAAAGCATGTTATTAAAATTAGTTACACCATTTCAAAGTTTTTTAATGTGTCTACCATAAAACCAAATCTGAAACATGTGGTTAACACACTATTTTTATAGGATAATGTTGCCGTAAACACGTTAAAAGGCAAAAAAAAAAAAAAGCAAGACCCAACTCTATGCTGTCTATAAGAAACCCATTTACACATAAAGACATAATTAATTGAAAATATCCATAAAATAGACCTCTGATAAGTTTCCAAATGTTTGAACATTCAACACACATCTAAGACCACTGGTCAGAAGAACTCAAGGGAAAAAAAAAGATATTTTGCTATAAGGGCTAAAGTATCAATGAGATATTCTTTTAGAGATTTATTGAATTTCTTAATGGACCATTAGCTAAAGGTCTGACTCCACTAGCTTTGGCTGATGAGGCATGGATAAGTGCATGCTAATAAATATTGGGTCAGCAACAGTTACTGCAGTTCTATATTATATTTTGCTTTGTGCTTTAGTTTTTTTTTTAACCTGGCTTTCTCCTATTTTTTTTACTTCCTTGAACTAATATTTATAGATCATCTATGATGTATGTCTTGGACTATGTGCTTATGATATCATGAGGATTATGAGCATGGAAGAGTTGGTTTCAAGGAATTTAGATCACAGACATTAGGTACCTATGCATGCTGCCTGAATCTAATTCTCAATTTACCTTTTTTTTTTCTTTATTAGAACTTGTTGAAGACATTATTTTATCAGGTAAACTTTTAACTCAAATAACTCCTAGTTTTTAAAATTATGTCTATAAACATTGAAGGCTTTGGGTCTGTGCCATTTTAAATTTTTTCAGACTCAATAGTGATCTTGGGTTTCTGCCAGTGGATACTTAAATTAATTTTTGACATTCCTGTTAAAAATATGTTCTCTAGCTTGGTTCTGAGTTCTTGCTTCTTATGGCTTCTTTTTCCTTCTTTTTCCTCCAAATAGACAGCTTCCCTATTCCCTTTTACTTAATTGTGGCCAGAATGATCACTTACAGCTGGCATTTTAAAGATTGCAGCCATTGGAGAGCTTGCATTAAAGAACATGAGCAAAACAACTTTGCTGGACCATTAATTGTTCTAGTGATAAACTCTAATGTCTTATAGATATCACCTTTTCTTCCATTCTTCAACACATACAATAAAGTAGCATTGTATTTTAAGATTAGACGTTAAATTCAGAGAGTAAAGTGAAAATCACATACAGTTAAAACCACTCCTATAAAACTTCCTAAGATCAGCATTAACTCTTTTTATAGTGCATTTTAATTACACAGAATGAGTTTTATTCCTTCGTATAAGTTACATACTTTGATCGTATGCACCCCCATGCCACTAACTCTTTGAGACAGGGATTACTGAAGGTTAATGCCAGTGATTTTTTTGGCACTGGTTTTGGGCAGTGGAAGCCAAGGCTATCTTGAAGGTGAGATGGGGTGTAGTGGCTTAAAAATAAAGATATCTTTTTCTCTCTTTCAGCTAAGAATGTATAATTGAAGTGTAAATGAACTGTTTTATATATCAAATTGCTTAATACGAGAATATATGTTCTGGACAAACAACTTGCCAAATTATGACCACACTATTTAGTCATATAGCAAAAGATTACATGGTTCAGTCATGAATCTGAAACTGTCATTCAGCCTCAAAATATACTACCTCCATGATGTTCACTTTTTTGTTTAACAAAGGGTAAGTAGTAAACATTATCCAGGTTTTGTAAGAAGCTGTGTTCTAATATAAGGCAGAACTTTGAATCTATGTCACTTGATTTCACGGCGAGTCATCTTGCTGTTCTGGCTAGTGTTTCAGTGACAACCCCAGGAGAAGAAAGGTGACATCACTACACATGATGCTTACTTGTTAACACAGTGATTGATCTGGATGGCTTGGTGACCACATTTCCATTCACCACTACTAGAGTGATGATATAATAAAGGCCATGATAATTGGCCTTGAAGATAACAGGAGGAGGCAAAGTGCTGTTGAATTCCTCAAATTCGAAGAAATAATTTTTGGATTCACCCGTTATCTTCACAACATACACAGATGCTGGGCTGATGACATCTGAGGCTTCTAGAGAGACAACGATGCTGTTATCATCGTGGACTGTCACATGGAAAGTTGCAGCATTCTGTTCAAGAGAAGAAAATGAAAGAGAAGTCAAACTCAGAGGATGGGAAATAAAATTATGCTGAGATAATTTTTCTAAAATTCATGTTCATGATAAGCATTATTTCTTAAAATAGCATTACAGAGGTATTTAGTTACATAAGAAAATACAAAGAAGAGATTTTCACTCTTAAGATGAATGTTTAAGGGTTTTGCTTTGAAGATGTTTTTTTTTTTTTTTTCTCTCCTGAAAAACCTGCTTCCCCTTCATGGACTGTGTCATGTAATAAGCACAAAATAAACATCAAGCAAATGAATAAAGAGTAAATGAAGCTACTGAAGTTCTAGGGAAGTCCTCTTGTTCAGCTCTGCTGGAGAAGTGATGTGGTCTGAAGAAGCACTTTGCACTTCAAAGGGAGTGAGTCTGCAGCTAGCCGAGGAACATTCTAGAACATTTCAAGATCCATACTTCAACTCTCACTTCTCACCCAGTTAGTTAAGAAAGTAAAAAAAGAAAAAAAGGATTCAGGACTGAGAAATCAGTAATAATCCTCTTCATTAAAAATTAACCAGCCCTTAATAAAAGAAGCAAAGAGGGTGAAGAAGGGATTTCTTCTTCAGGACCAGGCTGCAGACCTGCAGGTGCCTGTGGAAAGTCAGTGCTGGATTGCAAACATTGCTTTTGAGTCTCCAGATGAAAGCTTATGAATCGTATCTGTGCAGTTGGCTTAAGTATTCCTTCCTGGTTCTATCTCAGACTCCATAAACAGAAATAATCCTCTCTTGGTCTCAAGTAAGATTCATGTGCTTTGTACCACCTATTGCTTAGTTTTTAATTTAGTTTTTAGTTCTTCTTGGAATGCGGTGATCTGGAAAAATTATTTCCTCTTGCTTTGAGCCTCAGTTTGTCTCCTACAATAGGGGGAAAGATGAATTGCTGAAACTGGTTAACAATCTACAAGATTGTAAGCCTGGGTACCCTTCAAATATGAATCATCTCAGTAAAATCACCTGTAAGTCATCCATAAATCATGAGATGGCTATTATCATTTTCAATCTCACTTTTTGCTGAGGAAACTGAGGCTCAGAAAGGTTAAATCACTTGCCCAACATCACAAATGAAAAAAACAAAACAAAACAAAAAAACAAAAAACAATGATCTCCTGACTGTTCCACTTGTCTGTCTCCATCTCTTGCCTTATTTTTCCAATGCTGAAACTGGAAACTATCTGTTAAATGGATGAAAGAGTTGCTTATTGCATTAATTACATGTGGGAATCCACCTCTCAAGGATTAATCTACCTATTGATTTTTGTGCTTATTATCAGCTGTTGAATCAAGCACATAATATACATCAGTACCCCAGAAGAGGCTTTGTAGGGCTAAACATGTACTGATATAACTTTTCTTGTTTCTTTTCTTTTTTTCAGAAATCTCATGTTTGCTGGTCTTGGCACTGATAAACAATGTCTGGCATTCCTAGAAGTTGAATTAGCTAATATTAAAGAGACTTAGTTGTGATCTTGGTCTTCTAACCATACTAGACCATAAGTCCTTTCAGGTTAGAGCCTATTTTAATTCTTGCTACATTTCTAGCTCTAGAACCAGTGCCTGACAAGTGCTAGGCAGGTGCTTCCTAAAGTGGGTGGTACTAGGGAGAGGTGTGTAATATAAAATAGTCATTATGGATTAACTTTTTGTGTGTGTGACTGTGGGGTGCTTGAGATTGAGACTAGGTCCTCCCATATGTTAAGTAAGTACTCTACCACTGAGCTACACCACTAGCTCCCCTCCCTTCTTGCTAAGTTGCCCAGGCTACTCTCCAACCTCAATCTTTAGTCCTTCTGCAATCTCCAGAGTAGCTAGGATCACAGCTTGCACCAGCTACAGGTTGACTTTTAAAATTTTCATTTATCCACATTGTCTCCCATCCTCAGACATAGGACAAAAGACTCTTCCCTCATGGTTGCCTGGTCCCTCTGTCCACAAAGGGACAGTGACTCTCTTGCTTCCCGGGTGCCTGGTCTTTATACACACACAGAGCCCAAGCACAAGACTGTTGGTTGGTGATGGTCATGCTCAGTTGAAGGAGAGGGAAGTGTGGGGCTGGTCTCCCACCATCATGGTGAGACTAGAGGCAGATGCGTGCCACCTTTCTGCCGGTTCCAGCTTCTTCTCTGCTGCTCAGTACTGATAGCATCACCCATCAGCACCACTGGTATTGTTCTGGTGCTAGACTATCTATATGCCTTGTCCCTGCTCTGAAGAAAGAGATCAGCTGAGAACAAGGAACACTTCCCTTCAAGCTTCATGTGGGGAGGACTGTGCCCTAACTTAGAAGGAACATGGAGCTGGCTCTGCCCTACCTACAGCTTTCCCACCTCCACTCCCCCCATTCCTTCTGTGGGAAAGCTATAAGGAAGAAAGGAACTATCATAGAACCTTGTACCTCCAGGGGAGGTGAATGAAGTTCTTTTTGAAATAAGGAAGACCAGGGAGGTTATGGTGGCAACAGACACCTCTTCCTCTTTGTAAATGGTGTTTTATATGGCATTCTCACCATCTTAGACTTTACACACGATATCCCCAGAATGAAGAGAGTGCAGGGAGGTCTGGTGTTCCTCCCCAGAGTGGGTGAAGGTTAGAGAATAGTATAAATTTGAAGAAAATTAAATGGAATGACAGGCTTCTATAATTCCCTTTTGCTTGTGATTGTGGTCTGGTCCTGTTGGCCCTTTTTGCCAATAGAAAAAAATAAATTATCTAATTTATCACTTCCTGATACCCTAATTAAATACACATGCACATGTTCCTAGTCCTTAAAAAGAAAACGATTAATATTGGATTATTTTCTATATAATATAAATTAAGACTAAAGCCAATGTCCATTAAGGCCTGACTAAACCAGGGTTATTTGTCTATTTGTGTAATCCTTTAAAATACATTTGATGTTTTCCACCAAAATATTTCATCAACTAAGAATTGAAATGTATAGTATATTCTAAAATCTACTTCTAATTCCATGGTCTGTGCCTTAACACAATATAAAGGTCCATGTTGCTACTGTGGAAGATGGATCTCTTTTTCCTTATGATGCTTTTTCCCCTCCCTACTAGCTGACAGTCACGGACATGTCCTATCCTCCTGTCCCACATCTAGAAGCTTTGCACTGTCACTACTTCATGGCCCTATGTGCACTTTAATCTTGCACCTGTGTTCTCTAGCTTTTCCCTATTGACATCACTTTAGGATGACACTCACCAATAGCATGTGTGCAAAATAGATGGAGAGTGATGGCAACTATTTTCTTGTCCTTCAAAAAAGCATGGAGTAGCTGGGTTGTTGGGTCCCATGCTTCTTGGAGAAGGGCAAGTGGCACTGGCCACACAAGACCAAGCTCTGGATCTATACATAGGAGGTGCATTTGTTGCCTAAAATATTGTGTGGTGGTGCATCATAGATGTGCAAGGGAAGTCCATACACCTATAAGTGCCAGGCCTCAAGGGTATGGTGATGCCCCACCAATCCTGTGATGGTGCCATGGAGGCCATCAGTAGTATATGCTCATGCCACACAGCCCAAAGGGAAGGCTGGTGCACCAGCAGTCCTGGTGAAGTCATTTGACATCTGTCTTGGTAGAGTCCTTCATTCAAGGCGCCTAACACTTGCTTATCCTTAGAGCCCCCCACACCCTCTTGCTGCTGCCAACTCTAGGGGGGCAGATCCTTTATTCCTTGGGGGGCATGGAAACTTCCTCCAGCACTGCCAGCTTGCTTTAGTGTGGCTCATGAGATGCATTTCCCAAGCAAAACAAAGAGCCCTCCCTCTAGCTCCTTCTGTGGCCTCTGGGTAGATGCATTGCTAGGATGGGGGGGAAACAGCTAAGAAGGAGGTTGGTTTTAACAAGCACTCTTGGCTAACCATCTCTTCTTTTAATGAAAATTCACCAGTGTTAGACTATTCCTGACTAAAAATTTGGCACTAGGAAAAACAATAAAACTATAGCCAACACCACTGGTATGTATACCCAAGTTCTTCAGTAATACTTTTTAAACTCTCCATTTTTTTTCCTTACCACAGCATCTTTTCTACTTTAAATCTCTCTACAGATTCCACCACGTCATCTTTTCTCTTCCTTCTGCTTTCCTTGTGATTCTCTAGAGACAAATGTGTTAGTCCGCTTTTCATCACTGTGTCCGAAATACCTGACAAGAACAACTTGGAGGGGAAAGTTTATTTGGGGCTCATGGTTTTAGAGGTTCAGTCTGTGGTTGGCTGGGCTCTGTTGCTGTAGACCTGAGGCAAGGCAGAACATCAGGGTGGAAGGGCATGGTGGAGGAAAGCTGCTCACTCAGCTCTTGATAGCCAGGAATCAGAGAGCACAAGGAGCCAGGATCAAGAGATCTACTTCCTACAGTCATGCCCACCTGCCTATAGTTACCATTCAGTAATTCATTCCAATTATTCATCCAAAAAGTAGATGAATTCACCAATTAAGTTACAGCTCTCTTAGACTAATCATTTCACCACTGAACATTCATGCACTGCCTAACACATGAGCTTTTTGGGAGCTATCTTGTAGCCAAACCATAACAGCAAACTTTACAAGAAATGGTTTGGAAACAGCTAGACTATCCTCATTGCACAGTAAAGACCCAGTTATGAGGAAAGGAAAGTGTAATTTCAATCAGGTTAGTTGAAGTTATTAATTGATATACTCATGAAGAGCCCATTAGGCACCACTCAGTGTGCTAAGTGCTAGGGATCAAAACAGATCAGCCATAGAGGGAGCTTCTGTTTGGTGGCGGTCAGTGGTTATTTATTCATGAAATGCTTAGTGAAATGGAAATTCTGATTATAAGTATATTTTCATATTAACCAGGGGTTGATGAGAAAACACTTTTGCTTTTAACCTATTGAAAAATTTGACCAAACATTGAACCTTTGGAAATGTGCTACTTTTTCATGATAATTTTTAAATATTAAATATACTTTAGAATTTATTTGGAATCTCAGTCCATG